CTTTGCTCCCGGTGCCTCTGGTCTGCTGGGGACCATCTCCAGCAGACCAGGGACACCGGGAGCAAAGGAGGCAGAAGGGCGCTGGGGTATAAGATGAAACCCTATCTTTTAATTAAAAAGATAGGGGGTCGTCTTATACGCCCAGTCGCCCTATACACCGGAAAATACGGTATTCTGTTTGTAAAAGTAAAATCTCAGATAATTAGAGTTGGAAGAGACCTCAAGAGGTCATCTAGTCCAACTTCCTAACTTAAAGTTGAGCCAACTCCACCTAAATCATCCCAGCCAGGACTTGGGCAAGCATGGTCTTTAAAACCTCTAGGAATGGAGATTCTACCACCTCCCTAAGCAACCCATTCAAGTGCTTCATCGCTCTTAGGCCATGTCTAGACTGCATTGCTATGTTGGGATACTAGAAGTATCCCAAAATAGCAACACCATGTGTCCAAGGAACACGTATGCTATTTCGAAAAAATACTCAAAATAGCAGATGTGCTCTTTTGCCATCCCTGTAAACCTCGTTCTAGGAGGAATATGGGATGGCTTGAAAGAGCACTTTAATTTCAAAATTAAATAAAAAAAAGATACGCAATTTGCATATTGCTAATTGAATATCTTTTTTCAATTTTACTGAGCAGTCTAGATGTAGCCTTAGTGAAACAGTTCCTCCCACCCCCAATATTCAATCTAGACCTCCCCCAGTGCAATTTGAGACCATCGCTTCTTGTTCAGAAGCCTACTAAAGTCTTACCAGTACTAGCCAATGTTTGTACTCAGTGTTAAAAAAAAATACCCACGCTGGACTGAAATATCAAGGGGGAAGTTTCTGCATTATATAATATATTGAGACAAGGTCAGGGAGGTAAAAAAAACTTTTGAGAAAAGGGACAAGCTTTTGAGCTGAACGTGGCTGTAAGCAGAGCTCTGTATGACTTAAAAGCTTGTTCCCCCAACAGAAATTGGTCCAATAAATATTCCTCTTCCCTCTCCCCTGCACCATTCTCTCATATTCTGGAACCAACAAAAATACACCACCATCTAGTCTTTTGGCATTTTCATACCAGATCAGTTTTCTAACATCTTCCGTGCTGGCTAGAGCCTCAAGCATTTTGTACTTCTCGGCTTCAGAAACTGAAGATGTGTACATGCTTAGAAGGAACTCCCACCCATCGTTACTTTTTGCTCCTGTTGTGAATACAGTCTTCATAACATCAGTAGGAAGACTATATAAAAAAACAAAAAAGAACAAAAAACGAAACAAGAACAGCCTTTGAGACAGCATGGAAAAAAACACCACATAAAAGCTTTAGGTAAACAACAACAGGCAATGTGTCTTGCTAAAGCACTTAATTTGATAGTAATACAGGTTCAAATTCTCTAGTCCAGCACTCTCTGGTCTGATAACATGCACAGTCCGGCATGGTTGTACTTTGCTGGATGCTGACTTTGCATGGGTGTGGCCAAGTTTCCCTCCGTTACATAAAGCTTGTTTACAGCCACCACTCCTGGCTCTCGGTGTTATGTGCTGTTATTTAGCTCTAATTTACTCGTAAATGTCTTCTCAGAGCCCAGTAAGCAGTGGAAGTGTTGCTTGACAATATTGACCTCCTGGGGTCCAACAAATTCTCTGGTTTAGCACCAGCCAGGTCTTGAGGGTGCTGGACTAGAGGTTCAACTATAGTAGTTTTATAGGACCCGAGGGCCATTGCTCAGATTCTAGGCAACAGGAGAAGGCTGAGTTGCAGAATACATGGAATCATAGTTAATCATGCAAAAGGCTCAGACATGCTATGATGCAACAAAATTTTAATTTCTCAGGAGTCTTATGCCATGATACAATTGGAGGAAATGCAGTAAAAACTGCTGAATAAAGCACAGTCTCAATGGCCAAAACTAATTAGGATCTTTCTTCAAAACCATGGTGGAAAAGTGATAGAAATATATAAATGTGCTCAGTCTAGTTTGTGCTTTACCTCTTTGTGCCATTGGAAGCCTTCCAGTCCTCAAACAGCTTAGTGGCAGTGGTGTTACATTTTCCCAAATGATAGGAACAGGCAAAGGCAAGCACAGTGGACCGCAACTCTCGTTCAGATAAGGTCCCATTATCAGTCCAAGTCTGTTGATCAATTTTGCTTCCAAGTAGCTTTTCAACTCTGCCCTAGATGAAAGATCGTGAGTGATACCAAGACATGTTACATTGCTCAGACAGCAATCCATAAGCAAGATGGGGTATATGTCTACACTACAACGTTATTTCAAAATATCTTATTTCAAAATAGCTATTTTGAAATAGCTTATTTCGAAATAACGCATCTACTCACAAAATGCATTTTGAAATAGCTTTTTGCTATTTTGAAATAGCGCATCCACACTGAGTGGATGCTGAATTGCATTTAAGGCCAAAACCAGGTCCGGCAGGGCATCAGGTCAGGAGTTACTTTGTGTGGCTGCTGCCTGAGGCTATCTGAGGCCTGTGCTTAAAGGGACCCCCCCCCCCGGAAAGCCAGTTCTCAGGTCTCCCTGCTTGCTTGCCTACCTCGATGAGGGACAGCAAAGCATTTTGTCTCCGCATGCTCTGGTTGCCCTCACTAGGGACACCACAGCACTCTGCAACATGGAGCCAGAGCTGCCCCTGGGCACTCTGGTGCTTCTTGTGGACACGTTGCTGTGAGCCTGGCTGCACTTTCTGTAGGCTGCCATCCGAGAGGTCCAGCGGGGGGCTGTCAGTATCCAGGAGGCCCTGAAGGACAGCTTCCACTCTGAGGAGCACTAACAGCCTCCCTGGTCTGCCCCACTGGGGGCTTGTGCCTCATTCCTCCCTCACATCCTTCCACTTACCCCTCCCTAACCCCCTTCCTGATATAAAATAAAATACATGCATTTTCATGAACACAAACTCTCTTTATTCAACAAAACTGGGGGAAGGGGCAATGAAACTCTGGTGAGACTAGGGAAAAGAGGTGGGAGAGGGAAGGAGAGAGGGAGGGAGAGGGGAGGGGGAAACCTGGGAGGAGGGAGCTGGAAGGGGAAAGCAAGGGGAAGAAAGGGGGGGGGGGGGGCTCACCAACTTGATTTTCATGCAGACCTGCTCCTGGGTTGGCCTTTGGTGGCCAGGCTGGCAGCTATCCTGCCTTAGACGGCTGCGTTCCTCCATCTAGTGCAGAGATCATGGACATTGGGGGCATCCCCCCCAAACCTGAATAAGGTCCACGATCTCCACCCTGGACCAGGAAGGCGTCCGCCTTCTCCGGGCTCTGGCAGGCTTCTGGAACAGTGGCTTGCTGGCTCATGTTTTGGGGCCACTGGGTCAGGGGCAGTGACTGCTGGCTCTGGGCTGGCAGGCTTGGAGTTGGCACAGGCACAGTGGCCAGAGTCAACCCCTTTAAGGGCTCCGGGGAGGGAGAGGAGTATTCTTGGTTGAGGCTGAAGTGGTCACCAGGGCACCCTGGGAAGTCTGGAGGCCCCCTATTTCAAAGTAAGTGTCTACACAGCACTTATTTCAATAGCTATTTCGAATTTGGCGTTATTCCTTGTGGAATGAGGTTTACCAAATTCAAAATAAGTTATTATGAAATAATGGCTGTTATTTGCTGTGTAGACATACCCATGAACAGGGCTTGCCGAACCGCGGTGAGCTCTGCTCGCCAGCCACGCTGTCCAGCGATCTGTGCATGCGCACATCGCCCGAATCCGGCTCTTCCGGGTTACAATCTACTCACCACAGGCGAGTAGATTGTATTATTTGTTGAGCCCTGCCCATAAACAACTAGCAGTAATGATTGTGTAATGGAAGAGATGTACAGGGATTTGGCATGACATGATACTCAATCAAGTGCTATCTAAAAGGCAGTTAAAGCCATTGAAGGGTCTTCTATTTGTTTACAAGTTTATGCTGCATATCATGCAATCACTTTGTTTACCAATTTAAAGAGCCAGCATGAGAAAAAAGAATGTTGCTAATGGCTGATATGCTAATATTTGTGTTAGAAATTATGTTTAGAGGAGCCGGATGAAACTGTCATATTCTAGACACACTAGCCATCATCAAGAACTTTTGAAATAGCAAAATTTGGTGTTTTCTCCCCATTTCTGTAGCATACAAGGACCTGGATTTTAAAGTTTATTATTAAATATCAATTGCAGTAGCACCTAAAGGACCCAATCATGGACCAGCCTACGTTGTTCCTCCCCCCTCCCACACACACACACACACACACACACACACACACACACACAATGCTAGGTGCTAGACACAGAACAAGAAAAACAGACCTGCCTCAAAGTAACTGCTAACCTTTATTACTGAAGACAGACTGACAAAGGAACCTTACAAATATAAGGCAAGCCAATGAGATTCCTGAATGTTTGTCCATCAGAGTTTGACCAGAGAATGCATCTGTGAATCAGTGTCATAGGAAAACATTTCAAACACCCATGTAGAGAAAAAGAGGAAGACCTACCACTACTCTTGCAGCAAGATCTTGCATTCCTCTTTTTTCTATGAGGCCATAGATGACACTCAGTTGGAACAGAGCTTGAGTGATTGGCGCAGCTTCATTCTCTTTCACAATGTAATCAAGCAGATTAAAGGCCTTCAACAGAGACACCTTGCCTACTCTAAAGAGACCAAAGAACACAAAAAAAATTAAAATGGACTCAAACAGACTTTCTGGCTAAACAGAAAGCTTAAGAATAGCATCTACCTTGGTGAAACTATAATACCCTGGATTACATTTTTAAAAAGAAAGAAAAAATATCATGAGCTGGAAGCAAATGGAAGTAAAAATATATGAAGTGTTATTGTTCTTTTAATACAATGATGACAGCAATCAGACCTTCCATTAAGGGGAAGAATTAAAATAAAAGGCAGCATGGTGATAAGTGAAAGAAAGAAAGTGAAATTATTCAGAGTAAGGAAGCAGCTGTCACAGAAAGGCCACCCAGAATTCTCCACCTCATTCCAGTCATGGTTCCAACAAAGGGGTATATAATGAAAGCAAGCTGTTAAAAAGTTTGTCAGAAGCAACTAGTTTATTTCTCACAAGTGTAGCTGATACTTGAATTTTAAAAGAACAAAAATCACAAGGCATTTCTCTCAGACATAATGAACATGTTGTCCTCCACTCTGACAGAATTAGTAAGTGTCCTTTACAAAAGAAAGGGATGAATGACGACATTAAATGAATGGAGATCAACATCTAATGTTTTATCATTGATACTGAAATATCAATGATAAAAGACTAGATGTTGATCTCCATTCATTTAATGATGTATCAATACATAATAATAATTAATAACAATAATCCAATGATATCAAATACTGAACTTACAAAAAAATTATCTTCAAAGCATTCTTCCCCTCCCCCCATGCTCTTAAGTATAATCATGTGTCTTGGAATAACTTAACATTTTAAAAAGCCATATTTCCTCCCAGGACAAGAATTACCCCACAAGGGTGAAGATATTGTTGATCAGGTGGGCTCGGTCTTTGGCACTCAGAGCAGTGGGATCTCTTTTCAACTGGTCAATAAGAGTTTCCCAGCCATCTTCAGCATAGTGCACGATATAATAACCATCCATGTCCACATTGAACTTCACCCACTTCACCTCCTCCTGAAGTTCAATGGTAGCTAATGGGGAGAGAAAGATTTTTAAATCCTATTTTCTAATTATAAGTGTTTAAAGTATAAGTGTTTGGGCCCAGCTTCCCCAAAAGATCATATGTAACTGGGTAGGTCAGTCTGCTGTTGAATGTTTGAGGGTTGGGTCATATCTAGTATTGCCAATTTGGCAAGCATGAGTCTAATCAAACTGTTGCGTTTCATTCACTGTCTTGGCAATTTCAAAGCTGTGAACCATACAAGTGACACCTTTTTCTTCAGTGGGATAAACTCTACTCAGTTCAACCCACACAACCCAAATAAATTCAGGAGGCCACTTCTCTTCCCAGCTACAGCTAGAGATAATATTGGAGCTGGAAGCTCCCTGGTCATGAAAAGGAGCAGCATGGTGGTTTGCAGGAAGGCCCCTTAACTCTGAATTGTTCTCTTCTCCTATTCCCTCTATTTGGGCTGACCAAGATAGCTGGGACATCATCGTTTGTCTAGAATTAAAACTAAGAACGTAAATAAAATCAGGAGACAGAAATAGGGATGTGTGGGACTAGTCGATGATCCGATAAGCATATGCTTATCGGATAGTCAACAAGCTAGTCGACTAGTCGCTCCCTTCCCCCCCTCCCGCCTCTATCAGAAAGAGGCAGCAAAGGGGGGGGGGGAAGAGGAGGAGTGGGTACTTCAAAGTGGCAGGGCCTCAAGGAGCCTGGGGCCAGAACTTGGGCTTCATGTGGTGCTGCTGCTTTGAAACGCCGTGTGCAACCTGGGACCAGCTAGGGTGACCCCAAGCTGCACACGGTGTTTAAAAGTGGCAACGCCGCATGGAGTCTGGGGTCAGCGGGGGAGTCCCCTGCGGACCCCAGGCTCCAAAGGGCACTGCCGCTTTGAAATGCCACATGGAACCTGACACTGGCTTCCCCACGGTGTTTCAAAGTGGCAGCACTGCACTGAGCCTGGGGTCAGCGGAGGAGTCCTAAGGCGGAGGCGCCCTATTGACTAATCAAATAGTCGATGCAAAATGCATCTGGTTCTAAAGAAAAAAATAGGCACAAAATACGTGGAGAAGAAAACAGACTTCTCACCGCAGAGTTGTGGCCACATGATCTTGACCTCAGGCCCATAGATGCATGTGCAGCACCTGCAATCCCACATGTGGGTTGTGGATCAGTCAGTGTTGTAAATGATCCATCAGTTCCATCTCATCCCCAAATCCCTCTTGCACGCATTAGCAGAAGGAATGCCCTCGGAGAACAGCTGCTCAGTACATGGGAGTTTTGGATCTCTTAATGTATCCATCATACTGATTTCAATACCCATTAGATCTATTGCTCCTCTAGGCTTTCACACTTTAGTACCGAACACAACACCATCACCAATACTGCATACCAATACTGCCTGAATATACATCTAAGCCTTCTAGATGAGGAGACATTTAGAAAAAGACCACAAATAAATCTTGCTAAAACGAGCAACCCAGACTTATCAGTATTGCAGAGGGCTACCTGGAGAAAAATACTGAATAGTGTGTGTCTGTTAGTTGAAAAGTTCCATGATGTAAAGGCAAATAGATGGAGGGGGACTAGCAGAGCTGCAAGATAATGGTAATGTGCTGTTACCAGATAGAATGGAAGGCAGGCAGACAGGCAAGCAGTGCAAAACTATTCCACACAACTCACATATGTGGTTCCCCTCCCTCATTTCCTGAAGTAACCTGGGAATGTATATGACAAAAAAAGGCATACTACACAAGTAGCTATTATCTGTCAATCTGACTACTTGGTTGGCTAATAGCTGCGACAAAGTAAAGGACATGCACTCAAGTTAACATCTTGGTTTTGAAACTATAATAAAGAATGAAACTGTCCGACACACAGAACAGAATTTGTTGGGGGGAAAAGTCAACATAGTTTCTGTAAAGGGAAATCATGCCTCGCTAATCTACTAGTGTTCTTTGAGGGGGCCAGCAAGCATGTGTACAAGTGGGATCCAGTGGATCTAGTATACTTAGATTTGACAAGGTCCCTCACCAAAGGCTCTTAAGTAAAGTAAGTTGTCATGAGATAAGAGGGAAGGTCCTTTTCATGGATTGATTACTGATTAAACAACAGGAAACAAAGACAGAATAAATGGTAAGTTTTCAGAGTGGAGAGAGGTAACTAGTGGGGTCCCCCCAAAGGTCTGCCCTGGGACCTAATCTATTCAACTTATTTATAAATGATCCGAAGAAAGGGGTAAACAGTGAGGTGGCAATATTTGCAGATGACACCAAACTGCTCAAGATAGTTAAAACCAAAGCAGATTATGAAGAGCTTCAAAAATGCATGTAGATGGCTCCTTTTCATGGAAAAAGCCTCTTGCACAAAAACAGAGCCTCATTAATAATGCAAATGAGGCAAAGTGATATTCCACGCTTTGCCTCATTTGCATATTTTTTGCACAAAACGGGGTGTGAGGGGTGTGACAGGGCGCATGCCCTGCACTGGCCCTTTAAGACCAGGACTCAGGCCCGGAGCCGGGGCTAGAAAGAAAGAGGCCAGATGGAGCTATTTGGGGCTAGAGAGAGCCCAGCTGGCAAGCAACAAGGGCAGCACGATTGGCTGGTAGAAGCCAGCTGTAATTATTAGGGCGAGTGAGAGCCCAGCTGGCACGTATATATAGAGAAGCCCAGGTTGCTTGTGGGGAGAGCTAGTAGAGAGCTGACTGCAGAGGAGGCAGGAGGGAAACAAGCTGGGGAGGGCCAGCAATAGCTGGAGGAGGGCCAGCCAAGGCTCCCCTGGCTAGGGGCTGGAGGCAAAGCCCTGGGTTGGAGGCGGACCTTGATGCAGCCTAGGTAAGCAGGGCAGTGGAGACAACCCCGATGCCTATGATGAGCAACCCATACAGACTGTAACGTACCCTGCGAGGGGCTATATGAGGACAGTCAGGGGGCACTGAGGCGCACTGGGGGTGTGAACCCCTGACACGGGGGTAGTGTAGACATAGCCTTCAAGATTAGTAAGGTATGATTTTCCCTTTACAGAAACCATGGTGACTTTTCCCAAACCAATTATGTTTATCTGTGTGTTTGACAATTTTATTCTTTACTGTAGTTTCAATTAATTTGCTAGACTGCCATACTCTGGAACATTAAAAAATGTTATGTCAAAACAAACTAGACCAACAACAAAGGGTGGCATACACCTCTTCACAGTTATGTTGGCTACATCAGTCTCCCAGGGCTGAATCCCTTAAGGACACATTGCTTGGAGCCCACTCTTTACTTCTTCAAGACTCCTCTCTCCAACCTGGCAGCTTGAAAAGATGACCAGGTCCTGTTTATTCCTTATATTGTCATGACAAAATTAATACACTCTTGACATCATGACCCCTGTATGCTAATTACTCCAGGCACACTCAGCACTCTGTGGTGTCTGTTTGATAGTACCACTGATTCCTAACTACATCCTTATGTAGTAGTGAAAGCCTAAAGCAACCATGCCTATAGAAGTCATTAAATTACACTGTTCTCTGTTTCCCTATGGGTATCATTCCCGGTTATGTTCTCCTCTGCAATTATTTCATACTATTAATGACCTTAACTTCAAACTCTACTTAGGTGCATGCAAATGACTGATCATCCACAAAAGTGGAGTAACCTGCTTTCACTGTATAACCTGGATACACATGGTTCAAGTTACATACCTGATTTCTGGTCCAATAAATATGAATAAGGACAGAATAAAGAGCTGCAGTTGCTAGTTTTGTAGGAGAGAGGAATATGCCACAGATAACTGTAAGACAAAAATATTTTTTCAAATTTATTACATGAAGACTAGACTACTGTAATAATTCTCATCCAATACAATCAGTTTAGCTGCTTGTTTGATTTGTTAAAAACTGCTTACATATATTACATTATTTTGTTGTTGAAATTCCATTAAGAAATTATATCCCCCTCCCCCCACACCTTTGTAAACATCACATATCTGAAAGATTCACTATTTTTATCTTCATAAAATCATAGAATACTAGAACTGGAAGAGATTTTGAGAGGTCATCAAGTCCAGTCACCTGCCTTCATGGCAGGAGCAAGCACCATTTTAGATCATCCTTGACGTATGTTCGCCTCGAAAGGCAGATTCCACAACCTCCCTAGACAATTTGTTCCAGTGTTTAACCACCCTGAAAGTTAGCAAGTTTTTCCTAATGTCCAACCTAAAACTCCCTTGATGCAATTTAAGCCCATTGTTTCTTGTCCTACCATCAGAGGTTAAGGAGAAAAAAATTATTCATTAATTTATTATGAACTCTATGCTAAGAAAAAAGTGAGATTTAGTTTAATCACTGAGCTGGAAGCAAACAGCAAATAAATACCTCTATGTGTACCGCTGCATCTCATTTCTTTACTACTACCTGCTTTTACAGATGCCTACTGGAGCTCTGAATGAGTCAAACTGCAAGTAATATGCACTCTGACTACAGTTCAGTTGCATGAAAGTAAGAGAGCGATTTTCTGAGGGCTGGAGGAGAATAACCTTGCATCTGAAGTCCAATTTTCTGATTCCGGACTGCGCAAGAATCTCTCCTGATGGATAAATAGAGTCTTTCCTTTTCTTCTAATGGTTACTAAGGGAAATCCTTTCTGTAGAATCCAGGTTTTCATCAGTCTTTTTACATCTAATGTTCCATTTGTGACCTGTAAAAGAAAGACATTGAATTTCAACAGGAAGATAATGACTTTGTTGTTACTTATTGCCATTCTCTCCTCAGCTGGCCACACAAAAGCCATCTTGAAACTAGTGCAAAAGTAAGTAGGAGGTTATGCACAGTGGTCAGCCTACTGGAACATCTTGCAGGACCAGGCTCTCAAAGAAAATGAAGTGTATCACTATTTGAGTCACCTATATCACTTGGTATTCCACCTCTCTTCTCCAGCTGCTCTCGCTGTTCAGATGAAATTCAAGTTACTGGTCTAAGCCTCCAACGATCTATATAGCTTACACTTTGGGGAAAGTTCTATATAATTGAATAAAAAATCCAATAGAATTATTTATCTAAGGGAAATAATTCTCTGTAAAGAGCATAGGTTAAAGTTTCTAGGGAAAGTTTAAGAAAGAATGATGAATGAGCTCTTTATTTTTAGATTTGGACTGACTCTAGAATGGCACTTCCCAGTTACCATTCTCTCCAACCTCTCTTCCTCGCAACCCCTCCCTGTTTGACTAAACTCTCCCTCATGCTCAGTGGAGTCTTTCCTAGATTTTCAAATCTTCTCTGGCTCAATCTGCCTCCACCTTCCACTTTCTTCGCAAAATATACTTTCACTGCCAAGAGATCTACTAAGCCTACTTCACCAACCACTGGTAAATAAAAAAAATAATGATACAGGAAGCCCCCGGGTTACATCAAGCCGACTTACGTCAGATCCCTAGTTACGAACGGGGGGGGGGGGGCGCAGCTAGTGTGGGGTGCCTCCCCCACTGTCGCCGCGGGGGGTGCTTTCCCCCCAGCAGACCAGGGAGACGTGTCCATGTCTGTACAGTATCTTGCTGCTCTAGACTATCTAGGCACCATGCTAGCCAACATAAATTTAGAGCCATTGACACCCCTTTCCTTCCTCCCCTGCCACAAAAAAGAATCCCAGGAAATCGCTGAAGTCAAAGTGATGGTCTTAAAAATTAATAGCTGAATTTTTTAGCTTGCTAATAGTGATCTGTGTTCTTATCTGGCTTCTATCATTAGTGTCTCCCAAATCCAATAAAAGCTGAAAGGACTTCAAGGGAAATAATTTATCTTTCCTCACATAGGAGATGACCAAAAAGTGCATTTATTTTAGGTTTTTCTTTTAAATGCTTTAAAGAGTGCCTCCGCTTCTCCTTTACTCCAATTCTTAAGGTTATTGTGGGAGTCTAGAAAAGAAATGGATTTCATATTTTGCTCCAAAAGATAATGATGTTTATGATCAAAAGGAAACTAGATTTTATAACTGGAATTTTCAGAAGTACTCAGCTTTGACCTAACTGTTCCCACTGAAATAAATGAAGCGTTAGGTCAATGGTGAGTATTTTGATAAGTCTAATCCTATAAGCATACTTGGAGGTACTGCTGTTCAATTTTGCCTCTGTGCTGGGGCCAAAATGCTACAGATGTTTAAATACATGGGTAACAATAATCATCAGTTTAGTCAATACTGACATCAGTGGGATAGTCATGTGAGTGAAGTTATGCATATGCTTAAGTGTCTGTAGGCTGAGGAACTATTGCACAACTGTATCAATATGATAGTTATGGTTGTGCATGCCTTCCTCATTGCACTCATGCATTCTTCTTAAAGTAACATGGGAGCAGAGGGGTTAGCTGGTATGAGAGGCTTTCTTCTAGGCAAAAGTGTTGCACATCTCTACACAGAATTTTGGAAAGAGTCATCCTGAGCAGAGTAACTGATATACAAGGTCTTCTCATTATATGGTCTTTATATTAGTGCTTATAAGAAAATAAAACATTGCTTTGCTTTTCACATTTCTAATACATCATGCAAAACACAGAACTAACAACAACCAAGATGGTTACCTTATTCATACTATCCCATAAATCATCGCTCCTGGTAGATCCATAGCTGTGATTATGCAAATAATTCTGAATCCCAGCTTGAAAAGTATCATGTTCAATATACTTTTTCAACATCAGCAAAAGGGAAGCTCCCTAAAAGTAAGTAAGAGGAAAAAAGTTTAAAAACCTAATTCAGAAGCATGCACAGATTACAAGACTGTCACTACCCCTAGCTTTAGAAGATCATTTAGGAGAGAATGATTGAACTTCTGGCCTAAGGAGTTTAGTTTGAATGCAATTATTTTTACAATTTAAACTGCATGGGAAAATGTTTACTGATTTAAAAAAAATTAAGTTTCACTGATATTAACTTAGTTAAAAAGACTTTCCAATTATTACCATATGAAAGAAATAGTTTTCTGGTGGATGTATCATTGATGGTTGTCAGATTTCATTAACAGCATTAGGAGTTGTACCTTGCAAGAGCTGGTGTTAAATACCCATATGTCAGCAACTAAACCAGAACAATATAGCCAAAAGCAATCAGAAAAGAAAGTGAGATATGTCAGTAAATGAAAACAGGAAAGAGAAATGTCCACAAGTATATTTACATACATTGCTTATTTAAAAGCTTGAAAAGCACATGAAAATATTTTGTAAAATAAGCCTTTCACACTGTAAGTCTGCACAGAGCTGAATATTACTTTTAGATCTGTTTCCATCAGTGAAGTCATGGAGCAAATCATGACTGGACAGAACAGTGGTTTTACTCAGTTGAAAACTACAATTCTCTGTGAAAACATTTCTACATCACAGCTACCTTGTAAATAAGGGTGTGTCTAAATTACACCCCTCTGCCAACAAAGGGATGTAGATTAGGCACATCACTATTGCAAAGGAAGCGGGGATTTAAATATCCTGTGCTTCATTTGAATAGAAATGGCCACCACTTTTTGCTGACGCTGCACTTTGCTGGCAAAAAGCAGCAGTCTAGACGGGGATCGGTCTTTTCCAGCCAATCCCTTCTGCCTCGTGCAACGAGGTTTACAGAATCTGTTGGAAAATGCTTTCCTTGTAGACCGATCCCTGTCTAGACTGCCACTTTTTTGTCGTCAAAGTGCCACGGCAGCAAAAAGCGGCGGCCATTTCAATTCAAATGAAGCATGGGATATTTAAATCCCTGCTTCCTTTGCAACAGCGATGTGCCTAATCTACATCCCTCTGTCGGCAGAGGGGTGTAGTTTAGACACACCTTAAGTAAACGAAGGACAGACAGATTGCAGCTAAAGTGACATTGACCTTGAATAGCTTAAAGATGTACTTCACACTGTTGGTACCAAACAACATACTGGATGGAGAAAGAAAAACTGAAAGACCCCGGGGAACTCTAGCTATTTAAAATTTGAGCAACATTACAATATTGGCAGTCTTCACTTTTTGGCATGCATGCATTTGTGCTTTGGATGTGGCTTTATTTACACTAGTTCATGAAAAAATGAGCAATGTGTCTTCAGCAGTTTGTTCTACTAGCATTTTCTTGTTTTAAGCAGATAATCCTGTGGCATAGAGTCTGTGCTCCCGACTTAGAGCTGTGAGAGAGTTAGTCTCAGGCTTACTATACTAGATCTGGAGGGTCGGTTTAAGGTACACAATTCCAGCTACATAAACAATATAGCTGGAGTTGATATACCTTAAGCTGAGTTTAGCATTGTCTGCAGCAAGAGCCAACACTCCTGTCTGCTTTCCTAGTATTCTATGATTCTGTAACTGGAAGGAGCCTCGAGAGATCAAGTTCAGTCCGCTACCTTCACAGCAGGGCCAAGCACCAAGCACCATCTCACAGGTAGATGTCTGTCTAACCTGCTCGTAAATATCTCCAGTGATGGAGATTCCACAGCCTCCTTAGGCAACTTATTCCAGAGTTTAACCACCCAGACAGTAAGGAAGCTTTTCCTAATGTCCAATCTAAACCTCCCTTGCTGCAGTTTAAGCCCATTGCTTTTTATCCTATCTCGCCCTTCTACTGAGAGGAGTATTGGTGCAGACCAGACACGCCCTCAGCATTTGATTTAGCTAAATCAAATGCCAGAAGATTAATCTCTGGCACAGCAAGTGGAGACATGACATCAGTTTCTGGTCCCCTTGTGCTCCTGAGAGTCAGAGCAGACTGGAGACCTTCCCAAATAGGCCACAAACCAGTCAACGGAGCACTTCAGCTGCTAATTTAGCCAGCCAGAAGCCTCAGGAGCAAAACCCTACTGATACCCCAGCTCTTGCTATGTCCCAATCAGTCCCCAGCCTAACACACAGGTGAAGGGTTATAAAACCCAATCTCACCTACCCCAAACAGGTTCTTCTGGTCCCAAGAAACCAGCCACAGGTCCCAATAAATATACACTCTGGATCTTACCCACAAGATCACGCAGAGCCAATCCTTTAGAATCTAAAATCTAAAGGTTTATTACTAAAAGAAAGAAAAGCATTAGAGGAAGGTTGTGAAGGAGATTATATTACATGCATCGAATCACCAAGTTCTCAGGCTCTTAGATGTTATAAACTGCTATCTTATAAGTCTCTGGTGTACATCCTATGTCCGGATAGGTCCACTGTTCTTTCCAGCTCATTGTTCCCTGCAAGACTGCATCTGGGATCAGAAGCTGAACTGAAGACAAGATGGAGGGTGCCACATGGCACTCTCCTGGCATCCTCCTGGCCAGAACAGGATGCATGGCCAAGTGACCTATCTCTGTTTCACATGCTGGCAGCCATTATGCCCTGGCTGGTTTGCAGGTATCAGTCATATTCTTGAGGTATGTACTGGCACCTAGAGATTCATTGTCTCCTTGCTAATTAGCATAGCCACTGGCTGAACATTCTTTGCCTTTTGCTTTAACTCAGACAGAGAATTTTCCAGTATCAACACAGAGTACATATTTATAACTCCACATACATATATTATACAAGTACATGAATAGCACATACAGAATCAGTAGAACATAAGCTTTCATGTGACACCTCACACGGCCCCTTTTGTATAGACTTTTGGGGCACCCCACCCCCCATGGGTGCAGCAATGACCTTTAAAATCCAATAATGTGACAGGGGTCATAGTGGATCACAAGCTAAATATGAGTCAACAGTGTGACACTGTTGCAAAAAAAGCCAACACGATTCTGGGATGCATTAACAGGAGCATTGTGAACAAGACACGAGAAATCATTCTTCCGCTCTACTCTGCACTGGTTAGGCCTCAACTGAAGTATTGTGTTCAGTTCTGGGCACTACATTTCAAGAAAGATGCGGAAAATTTTGAGAAGGTCCAGAGAAGAGCAACAAAAAAATGATCAAAGGTCTAGAAAACATGAGCTATGAGGCAAGGCTGAAGGAATTGGGCTTGTTTAGTTTGGAAGAGAAGACTGAGAGGGGATATGATAGCAGTTTTCAGGTATCTAAAAGGGTGTCACAGGGTGGAGGGGGTAAAATTGTTCTTTCGCCTTTGACGATAGGACCAGAAGCAATAGGCTTAAATTGCAGCAAGGGAGGTTTAGGTTGGACAGTAGGAAAAACTTCCTGTCAGGGTGGTTAAACACTAGAATAAATTGCATAGGGAGGTTGTGGAATATTCATCATTGGAGATAGTTAAGAGCAGTTTGGATAGACATCTATCAGGGATGATCTAGATGGTGCTTGTTTCTGCCGTGAGGGCAGGGGACTGGACTTGAAGATCTCCCGAGGTCCCTTCCAGTTCTAATATTCTATGATTCTATGATTAAAGCAAAGTTTTCCAATGCAATCTTAGGCCCTGATCCAAAGACCACTGAATTCATTGGTCTTTCCATGAAATTCAATAAGTTTTAGATCATGGCATTAAAGCATGGGATTTAAATATCAAATAAAAACACCCAGTTAAAAAAACCCACCTTCTTTTCTCTGAAGATATCCTAGTGAAAGTTCTTAGCTTTGTTATTGAACCCCTTAAAAGTAAGATCTTTATTAAGAAGGTGTACAATCATAATCTGGAAGCCCAAGACAACATCTGGATTCTATTTGGCACTGTGAAGCTCCTGTCAAACAACTTAGGGACAGATGCCAATCAGAACCTTGCAGGCAAGGCAGCTTGAAAGTTACATGCTTTTGTGCTGCCACTTGAGAGAATGGCCATCTGCTTCAATTGTAATGCTCCAATTGGCATCTGAGAGAGTGATTTTTAAGCTCTGTAACTATTTAAAAATAAAAAGGAATACAAAAAAGTCTTTCATAAGGCCCTAGCTACCTCCCTCCACTCCCCAAAAGCATAAATATTAAGAAGTCTAAGTCAAAAGTTAAGGAACAATCTCTCTTGCTTTTAAGTTATCAGTGTGGAATGCTACACAGAGAATGCTAGAAGTGGAAAGAAACAAAATAACAGTTTAGTAAATTTAAATATTTGTGTAAGCCATGGTGGTGTTAATATTTGGGTTTATTTTTATATTCTGGTAAACTGGAGTCGTGTACAGAAACTATTGAGAAGGAGGAAGTTAAGGGACGCAGTGTTCCCTCTAACATTTTCTATCCTTTCGTGGGTTGAAACACCAATATTGAAGGAGTGTGTGGATGTGCACCACCAATGCAAACAAAACACATACATACAAAGTATTTACATATTTTAAACAGTCTGAGTGGAAGAAAATATATTCAAACAAAACACCTGTGTCTAGTTGCTATGAGATGCACCTTTGTAGTCACTAAGGGTTGTACAACTACAAGCATCCTGCTTCCAAGAGACTAACACCAGACTACAAAGGGAAGCCTCAGAACTGTCATTCATGCTTACATTTGACACTTTATGAATGGACCTTAAAAATGCTAATTATCTTACCCATTACAAAGATAGATTCCCCAATTATCACCCCTAATATCATTATCTCATAGACACTAATTTCCTCCCCTCTCCCCCTCTCTGTTCTAAAATCTGATTTGTCAATTTTATGTGTGTTCACTTTTTTTGATTATATCCCTTTGGTATATATGGTCATGCCAATTTTCTTCCACAATTTGATGTGAGGAAGTGGGTCTGGCCCACGAAAGCTCATCACCTAATAAACCATCTTGTTAGTCTTTAAAGTGCTGCATAGTCCTATCTTTTGTTTCAGCAAGACCAGACTAACATGGCTACATCTCAAATATGGTTGTGCAAAGGGTAGGAAATTAGTTTTCTTCCACTCAAGGAAGAGCAGAAGCCCCAGAACAAATTAACACATGGCTTCAGGGTTTGTAGACAGATGCATGTTTCAAAGAGCTTGCAAATAAGGTTTCATCCTAAAAAACTAGCATCACACCTCATAAGAACCAGAAACTCTACCACATAGCAAAGATCTGACCTTAATACAATACAATGTACCATGTATTAATTAGTAATGACTAAAAAAATCATTAAGCTCAGAGTTTTAGATATCTGCAACACTTGAAAAAAAATTCCGTTAATGGCTTAAGAAAAAAAATTCTTTTAACACCTATGTATAAACTTTGTTTGAAATGTAATCAAGCAAATGTCTTCCTAGCACACAAATACACCCCTCATGCAGCTTGCGTTGCCCCCTTCCCTCCAACTTAGCCTAACAAAGAGGATTGCAACGAGTTAGGACATTCCCAAACAAACTGCCCCCTGCCTCCACCTCACTAAACAAATTTTAGCACCTAACCATCCTCTCTTTCCTCACCTACCTCATGCAGTCATCTCCTTACCTCCCCCTTCCCAGCCCAGGAGGGTTGAAGAGACTGCTGGGGTTCTGTCTCTCTCTGGCAGATGGTATTCTACAGATTCCTCTCCCTCTGACTTTCCCCCAAGCCAATTAATGAATTACTCGCTCCCTACCTGGTCCTTATTGCTTACTTATCCCCTCTGCTTTTCTGCTGTGGGAACTCTTCAGTTTAACTGCAGCAGCGTTTAGATGCTTTTTACAGACACCCCACTTCCTGGTGGTCAGCTGAGCTCTCTCCCTGCGCTGGGAGTTTTGAACCTCTGAGCGGGACTCGGAAAACTCAGACAGCTTAGAGGGACTTTTGGACACAAACAATACAGATGTGCATAAAATCTTTTCTTAAGGAAATTTTATGAGAAATATTCTTAAGCGTGGCTGAGTTCTGCTCAATACATAAACTGAAAGGTGCAGGGGAAAGGGTGATTTTAGGTCCCCTTTACACCTTCTTAATTCTGGCCAACCCTGATTCTAGATTTAGTCCCTGGCACAATTTACAGTGGTCTCAGAGCTGCTCTAATTTTCATCCAGCTACAATGGCCCTTAGGAGTAATTCCAAGATTTGGGGATCACCAGAATGTAAGGGCACTCCATGTCCCACCTAAGTCCCTGGGGGATGGGCAGGGGGAGAGCAGGATGTGGTGGGGTTTGAGGGGTAAAGTTATGGAGGTTAGGGTGGGAAAGGAGAAGCACAGAGCCAGCTACACTGGTGTAACAGGACACAGCGCATGTAGGTTTGTATATCAGAGGGGTAGCCGTGTTAGTCTGAATCTGCAAAAGCAGCGAGGAGTCCTGTGGCACCTTATAGACTAACTGAAGTGCAGGAGCATAAGCTTTCGTGGGCAAAGACCCACTTCGTCAGGTGCCACAGGACTCCTCGCCGCTTTTGTAGGTTTGTATACTGAATGGAATCAAATGCCTACTCACAAGACTAATTTAATCAATCAGTGTTAAAAAGACAACATACAGTCATTTCTTAAGATAAAAAACAACAAAGGCCAAAAAAAGAAACTACCAACTTGTGAGCAGTTTAACTTGCATTTTAGTTGCAAGGATAATTAAGGATAGCTCCTGACTTAGGTAGTGTTACTTCCCAAAATAAGAATATCCTGGGAAAAAAGGTGTTCAAAATACACGAGAAAGTGATTTTGTTAGTCTCTAAGGAGGTTACCTTAACATAGGAAAGCATATCAAACATTTCTTCAATCTGCTTTGAAGACTGGACAGCAGAGGAGATTGGATGTGAGGCATTTAAGGAGTCTTTCATCATGGTCTTGAATCGTAGTTTCAGGAATTCTTCATCCTAAAATAGGGAGTTTAGATCCACATGGGAAGTTAGAACAATAAAAGGATTGTGCCAAATTATCTGTAATTCAGAGCTGGAACTCAGATCTTGGAATAAGTAAAGCAAACTTTCATTCTCCCTGCTATCCCATTTATTTAGCATGGTATCCTAGTCATCTTACCCTCTCCATTTTGTGGTTAAGACTCTTTTCTTCTGCCACTGCCAAAGGAGACAGCAAATCAGTCTCTCTCTTCTGAGATTATTATTGCTAGCTCACTGTGAAATCAACTCTCTTCCTCCCAAACTATAGCAACAGAAGTTTACTAATGGACACACATCATAAGCCTTTAATCAGCTATGCACAAGGAGACCTACCATACACAACTCCATAGCCTACACAAGAATGAAGAATCCAAAGATACAAGTCTCTCTACAACAATCTGCCTCTATTCACAGCATAGCTGCAGTGATTCTGCTACAATTAAGACCCTTGGAAGTAGGATATGTCCCAAAACAGTAGAATTTTATAGAGCCTGTAGTTGGTATAATTTGTAACTTGATTATGCTGCCATACACAGAATCAAGAGACACACACACACACACACACACACACACACACACACACTATATATATATTAATTAAAGACAAGGGACTCTACACAGGCAAAAGGATTGGTGTAATAGGCATATTGTTTTGCAGGGTCAAGGCCATGTACTGGTATAGTAACTAGTGTTTTCTATTTGCATTTGTAAAGCAGACTGTACTACTGTAGTTTCATGCTGTGCATATGATCTAATGATAATCACCTACTGTGGGTATGAATATCTTCAGAAATACTGATATACTATTTTAGCGAACATATTTTTAACATGCTGATTTGAGCTGGCTATGATTTATATAATATTCTAGCAAATAAAGGAGGCTGAAGAAGTGATTTTACAGCTATTAAAGTTTTTAAAAACTGCAGTGAAATCACTGGACTATAGAATGACTTGCTAGGAAATATGCACACACAACATTAAACCTAATCTTTTTGGCACTAGAACCTTGAATCTTTATTTCATTCTAGATTTACATGCAACAACTTTAAATAAGTGCACTGCATATTACCAGACTACTTTTATCTCCTACATTTTAAGGGTCTGACCTACTATTATCCAAAAGGGCAATGGAAGATATTTTACCCGTGTTTTATTTCTGCGTAGTTGGAGGTTATTAGTGGTTATTAGTGCAGAACTGGGGCCCTAGAGCACTCCTGATCAGGAAAAAAGGAAGAAAGATCACAAACCAAATAGTCAAGTTGAAATAGGGCCAACATATATTTTGTGTGAATATTTAGATACTATTTTGTTTAAGGGTGCATTCAGGGAGAGTTTGAGCAAACACTTTTGGCACCACCAAGTGGCGAAACATTATCAGTGAGTGTCCTTGAACTACTTATAGCACAATTTAAGTTAGATTTTTATAACTTCAAACTCATGAAAAAGGAAATAAAATTTGTGTCAGACTGACAAAGAAGCCTTATTGATGGAGAAAAACATCAAATTCAGGAAGTACTCACAGCATGTAGCTCTGGAAAAGTTTCTTCCATGGCAAAGTATTCCATAAAAGTTGCAAATCCTTCATTCAACCAAAGATCATTCCACCATTCCATAGTCACTAGATTACCAAACCACTAGAGGACAGAAATGCAAAACAAAAAAACAAAAAGGTTTTAATTGTGCAAAATGGAAGAAAATTCAGTCAAATTTCAAGTATGCCATAACAAATGTATTATCCAAACACAAAAATATACTTTATGAAGAGCTACATTGTGGTTCTCTCACAAGCCATACATATAGGACAATGATAGAAATGTAGCCGTGTTAGTCTGGTGTAGCTGAAACAAAAAACAGAACTATGTAGCACTTTAAAGGCTAACAAGATGGTTTATTAGGTGATGAGTTTTCGTGGGCCAGACCCACTTCCTCAGATCAAATAGTGGAAGAATATTGTCACAACCATATATACCATATATAGGACAATGCTTAATTATGCTTCTCCAGGAACAAGCTAGGAAAGAGATTGTGTCCCAGTTGCAGTAAACTTCATTTCCTGATGTACTGAGAGCAAAACACCCACAAGCCCTACACCAGGTGCAGTGCATGTCCTTTAGCAAGTGTAACATGAGAGGGTGAGTATTTGAGTGAAAGAAAACTGCATTGTTAAAATATTTAATACACAGCATTTCAATCCAGTACCTGATGAGCTAGCTCATGAGCTATCACTGCAGTTATCAGGTTTTTATCCATTGTTGAAGAGGTTCTATTGTCATAAAGGAGTGTTGTCTCTCTAAAAGTGATCAATCCCCAGTTTTCCATAGCACCTGCCTGGAAATCAGGAATGGCTACCAAATCTAAGGGAGGGGAGGGGAGTAAAGAAAATTAAAAAATGAACCATCCTTAAATCACAAGTTACAGTAATGCTGCATTCCATATCTTCCTGCTTAATCACAACTTATATCTACAGATATTAACAACCTACCAAACTTCACTATTTAGCCACCAATGCTGCAACCACATACTCGCTTAAAGTTAAATCATCAGAACTAATTGCTCTAAAACAAGTATGTATGTAGAACTGGTTTTGTAGATTTGTCAGGTAGTTACACTGGAAAATGCTGAGAATTCTCAATGTCCCTAGCTGAGCATCGGGTGTTAATGGTACAGCAAAAACACTTTCCCCAGAGCCCACACTGAACTGACAGCTACCTTACTCAAGCCAAAGGTTTGCAAACTTTTTGAGCCCAGGATCCATTTCCTGCACAACTATACAAGTCTAGTTAAACATGTATTGAACTTTAATGATGTTTTTAAAAAGTCAAATTTTGGAGTTTTTTCCTAATGCTTGAATTAGTTCTTTTTTTAAATGAAAATATCTGAAGTATGTGGGGACTGCTACTTGTTAGAAGATATATGTAAAGAAAGATAAATGAAAACAAATACATTACCTAATTTTTGAAGAGGATAATCTATATGAAAATACTTCTGATAAAACTCTAGGAGCTTCACCGCTGTGTCTAGAGCATACTCAACTTGAGATAACTTCTGTGGCATGGCATAGATAGAAACCTGTCCAAAAAAAAAAAAAAAAAAAAGGCATCATTTTTTGGGATGCAATCACAAATAGCAGGAGAGGGAAGTGGCAGACAAAAATCCTGAAGTAGATAGACTCAATTCCCTAGTTAGTTTATACATTTATATATATTATGAAATCACATACATTTGATAGCAAAACATTTGGAGATTTTTATTGTTTCTTTTATTTGTCAGTTGACCCTGCTTGAGACACATTTATCCCCCAAATTCATGGGAATATGTGCAATGTTAGTTTGAGTCCCAGTACACAAGTTGTACATTTGTTAAGGACCATTCTAAGCATGCAATTCCCAGGGGAGTCACCGCGCTTCGAGCGGGGGTATGCAGGATGAGGTGGAGAAGAGAGTACATGATGGTTTCTTTGCAGCAGCTAGAATCAAGGGGACTATTTTAGAGGAGCCACAGGAATCTTGTTTAGATAGATCCAGTAGCTTCAATCTAACCCACCCTGTACAGTAGGTATGGAAAGGTAGCAACTGCTATTTCAGCTGCTGTATTCCACTCTGATGACTTGCCTGTGGAAACTCACAAATTCTATCTCCCTTTAGTTTCTATTGCCTGGGATTGGACAATTGTTCCCCAATACAAGTTATTCAGCCAGGTTTTATTTTTGTTATGCATAAACTTGTGTTTCCAGTGTTCAACCATCTCCACTCCCAGCCTGTAAGTTTGGGGCACTTCTCTCCATACTACAACCCAGGGATTATAGGAAACATTTTCAATTGTAGGGGTAAGGTGACCTCTAATCCTGAGTTGACAATTCTGAACTGATTACAAGAGCCAAAGAAGTCTGGATTAGTCTTTCTAGAAATATTGAAGCCTGTCACAGCAACAGTACCAAGCACTACATGTAGCGCCATTTAAGTTGTTAAATTCTTCATTAGTCCATATTTTAATATATATAGTCATTTAAAACAAGACATTCAAAGTTTGATCCATTTTCCACCATTAAGTGTTCATGATGCAAAGGAGAGGCTTGGTATATAGAGTTATATGTGGGCTGTTCACTTTAGATGTTCACAGACTATGCTGCATTCCTTTCAGCAGAGTTCAGTATACACCCATGGGTACTGCTGTTTTCAGACTGGGCTCCCCCACCATTGGGCTTGGATGCTTCCTGGGCTCAGGTGAGCTCTTTAGGCTTTGTTCCTCCTGAAAGAGGCTCAGATGCTGCCCCAGGGCAAACTGTTTTGTTTTGGATACTCCCTTGGTCAGAACAGACCATACACCTTAAAGTCCAAGTGAAACCTCTCTATTGCGTGCGCACGCACGCACGACCTTGGGTTAGCTACTGAGCTAAAAATAGCCATGCAGACATTTGGGCATGGGCTCAACTGTGAGCCCCTTTCCATTTGCCAGATTTTAGAGTCCAGGTCCCAGCCCAAGCATTTACGTAGTTATTTTTTGCCTCATAGCTCAAGTCCAAGATAGCGGACAGGCTCGGAGACTCACAGCTACATGTCTCTCTTTTCCCCTCTGCCCCCCTTTAAAAGCTCTGGAACCTCTGAGTAGACTACATATCTACAATCTTCCCTCACACCTAACATGCTTTGATCAGCAATAAATGTAATTTAAAAGGGTAAACATTTAAATAACCATGGTTCTGTGACTTGTCCTCACTGATACAAGCAAGAACAGGTGACAGCTCTAAGGTGTTGTTTCATGCTCTCTGTAAACTCATGCAAATTTGTCTGCCTAAGTTTACACTTGGTTCATAACTTCCTACAGTTCTCTTTGCAAATACATGAGCTAAATACTTACCTAAGAAAAGGAAAAAAATGATTAAAATTCTTGGGCTAAAAATAGCAACTTCAAGAAAAACATGCCACTCATCAAGCTAGACCACGGAGATTGGCCTATTGAGCTCTAATTACAGCTACTTGCCCAGGCTAGAAGTCTGTTAAAAAAAAATCCACAATTTTACTCTATATATTGGCTTAGAGCAATTTAGATCAGGATAACATTTTTAGCAGTATATTTGATAAGGGCTTCCTTTCCCTCCTGTACCTTTGTTAATCTACTTTGAGTCAGACAAGAACTAGCACTTTCAATTTCACCACAAAGGGGCAGCTCCTGCTACAGTGACAGGGTCTGATCCCTAAATTTTTGCTCACTTGAAGCTCCCATGCCTCTTCTATGACGAGGTATTGGAAGTTCTCTCATAAGTGTCCTCCTTCTTGTCATTCTCTAGTATACAGCTGCCTACCAACCTAGCAGCCCATATCAATGAAGCAATGCCACCGAAGACAAGACTAAGTTAAGTTTATAGCAGCTGTCAGGTGCTCAGCATTTTTGAAAAAAGTCAGGCCATTAATATTCAAGCATTTACATATGGACTTAAATTTCTGGCCAGAATCTGCCCTACTACAGCATAGACTAGTTTGGATGGTTGGCTCCAAGATATAGCTACTGAGCCACACTTCCCTTTGTTGGAGACAGCAGAGTGATTTTGCAGCTTCTGTTCTCAGGTGCCGTCTTGAAAGAGAGGAGTAGCCATGGCGAGGGAGGTTAGGACAGCAGTACTGTCACCTGCTGTGACTCCCTTGAGGGTAGACAGGCATCACAGGAAGTCTGAGAATGGAGCCTGTGCAGGGCAGGCACTGAATCTGTATACACGTTGGCTGGCTTGGTACTGTTCCATTTTAGACAAGCTCTTCCCACTTTTGGCATCAGCTCTGGATTTCCACAGCAGTGCAAGTGGATTGCATCTTTTTATCCTGGTGCTGGGCAGTCTTTCTGCAGCCAGGGGCTGGCAACATAAGTAGGCAGCAGCTCTGGACTCAATCCAGTCCATAGTATAAGAACATTCGACAGTGGTGTGCCTTGTTAGCCAGGGGTGGGCAATGAGTTTTGCTGGGGGCCACTCCAAGAATTTGGTAAGTGGTCAAGGGCTGCACTCTTTCATGATATTAACAGAGTACGTGTGGGGTCTGAGATGAAGGAGGGATGGAGGAAAGGGTGTAGGTTCAGGGGGGAAGTATGGGTGAAGGAGGAGGTTGTGACTCGGGGCAAGACGCTGGAGTGCAGGGTCCAACAGAGGATTCTGACCTAGAGAAAGAATGCAGAAGGCAGTGCAGGGTCTGGGAGAGGGTTGTGTCCTGGGGCAGGGATAAAGGAAGAAGTGCAGGGGATTTGGATGCAGGGTCTAGGAGAGGGTAGAAGTGCAGGAGGGTTAGAGGGAGGGGCTGGGAAGCCAGAGGAAGGCTCTGGCCAGGAGCACTTACCTGGCACCTCTCACTGTCCAGAAGCCAACCAATGGGAGCAGCAAGATTGTGCTGGGGGTGGGGGCAGCGCACAAAGACTCTCCCCCCTTCCCTGGGCTCACAGCATTCAGTGAGCTGCTCTGAGCAGCATGCGGGTGCAGGGAAGGACCTAGATACTTAACCCATAATTTTGCCCACTTGTGCACTTGCACGGCCATTCAGGAGAGATTCAAATGTCGCCCAGCTGATTAGCAAAGTGTCCGCAGCTCAGTGTTTTGTTTCTAGTAGTGCATTTTTGCATATACCTCTGTGCATAAAAAAAAATTATTCTGTACATGGATGGAAAAGATTAGGGGGAATATTGCTTGCCACTCTCATAACAGAGGATAGGCAGAGAGTGAGCCACCCATGAATGTGCAGAAATCAAAAGTACAGCAGAAACATACCCGTGTCCTATTAGTCTCTCTCCTGGTAGTTGTCAGATTTGCAACAATGAAAGCAACTAGATAAGTACTCATCTTCAAGCTCACAGAGAATTCATCTTGAACTATTCCAGCTGCCACAGGGATGGTTACATTCTGCAGATAAAAAGAGACACTGTTGCTGCTGTGGACAACAGTCTAAAATTAATCAGATAAGCTAGGAGATGATACAAGACCGCTATGTCTAGAGTGCACAATGGCAACTATAAGAAGTTTGTTGGAGCATTTTTACTACAGTAGAACCTCAGAGTGCTATGAGCACCAGAGTTATGAGTGGAGTCGTGCACCTCATCTGGAACTAGAATTAGACAAATGAGGCAGCAGCAGGGAAAAAAGATGAAAACAATCAAAACCAAAATACAGTATAGTACTTGTTAAACTTCTAAAAAAAGGGGGGGGATTAAAAAAAAATCTTGGACCAGGTAAGGAAACTGTCCGGGCTTGTTTTATTTAAATAAGATAGTTAAAAATAGCATTTTTATTCTGCATAGTAAAGTTTCAAAGCTGTATCAAGTCAATGTTTAGTTGTAAACTTTCAAAGGAAAAAAAAGTAACGTTTTGTTCAGCGTTATGAACAGCCACCATTTCTGAGGTGTTCATGCCTTAATACACAATAGGAATGGAGGCTGTTTATAACTCCGAACAAAATGTTATGTTTTTTCTTTTAGGTTTTCACAAAGGCATCTTTATAGCTCTTAACAAAAATGTCAAACTGTAAGAGCACATTAGAACTGGACCAGTAAGTCCCACTAATGCTATATACAAAGGTAATGCCAACCCCTGTTCCTTTTCGATATTCTCCAGTTTATCCTGCAAAGAATCACATTAGTTCTCAGAGACTGCATTACACTGGGATCTCATGTTCAATAGGTTATCCATCATGATCTCTAAATCCTATGAAGTCTCATTGACTTGAAGTTAAGCACGTACTTGAGTGTCTTCAGGATCAAAACTTTGAGCTTTTTACAGGCACCCTGCATACATTATGTGACACTACCCATTCTGATTTCCCAGGCAAACTGACAATGCTAGGCCTGCAGTTGGTGACGGACAACAAATGGAGCCCCCAGACACATAATACAGTAAACTTCCGATAATCCGGCACCTTTAGGACCCAGGGGGTGCCGGATTATCAGATATGCCAGACTATCAGAAGGGGGGGCTATGAGCGGTCTGGAGTGGGGTGGGAGGGGATGCCACCCCAGGCCCCTCATAGCCCCCCCCTTACGATAGTCCGGCTCTGCCCCAGGCGTCCCTGATTCAGCCGCTGCTGTTCAGTTTCAGCAGCAGCTGAATCGGGGATGCCTGCAATAAAGCAGCTGGGGTGCTGCAGGGGTGGTCCCGCAGCGCCAAGGGGTGGCGCTATGGCACCAACCCCGCAGACA